TAACTGCCTATTTTTGTATGAGTCATTTTAATAATACATTGGCCATACATAACTTTTTTCATACATTTAGATTTTGCATCTGGAAAAAATATATTAGCCTTCTTTATTCCATTAATCGAATCGACTATCGATTATCAGCACTAATCTCAGTATTTAAAGGGACATTTCACCTAAAACTATAACATCTGTCATCGTTTACTCACGTCCGTGGAACACAAAAGGCGATGATGTTAGGCACTAGGCAAAAAGACTGACAGATTCAGTCACCATTCACTTGCATTGCATCTTTTTTGTCTACAATGAAAGTAAATGGTGACTGAGAATATCATTCTGTCTCACATCCTTTTGTGTTCAACTGAAGAGAGTAAGTCATTTTTGTGTTTGTAACGACATGAGTGCGAGTAATATACATAATAATGCCATAAGAGCAAACTATGACAGAATTAGGGTGAGCTGTTTAAAGAGACGGGACCTTTATTTCACGCACACAGTCACAGCCAAACGAAAGTCTTATTCTCGAGTCCACGAGGATCTTTCATTAAACAAAAAAAAATCGTATTATGAGCTAAATAAGTTTCAAAGTAGCCTACATAAAAGATATTGCTTTTCTATTTCACTGTCTTCCCTACAAAGACAATAGAGAAGTCATTGTCATTGTGCAGAACTCTCTAATTCACCATTCTCAATTTAACACTGGAACAGGATCAATCGTAAAATGAAACCACTGATGTTTGTGACACTCTTTTGACCTCACAGTCTTTTTGCAAGTGTGAGTGCGTTTGTGGAATAAAACACGCATGAAGTGTCATGCACTGAGCTCTGTCAAACTCTCCACCCGCTGCAATCTGTCTGTCCGCGCTCAATAGAGGGGCTATTCATGACTGTCTTACAACTGCACACTACAGCGCTTAAACTTCACCCCGCGAGGATGAAACTGGCGTGGGATCGCACCGACACCAGATCAAAATCAGGCGAATCGGCAACGCGAAATAAATCGTACGAACCTGAAGCGGCGAGGCGACTTTTCCTCCTTCCAGGGATTGATGTTTGGGAGTTTGTTGCTGTCACGCGCTCCCTCCCTTTCTCTAGCGCACTCGATAGATAGTGCTGTTGTTGTTTTCACTTCCTCTTTCCTCCTCCTCCCGGCTCATGATTGGCTCCGCCGCTTCAGGAACCCACCAATCACAGCACAGTAAATCCTGATCATTCAATAGACAGATAAAAGCGCGTCAGGGTGTTTTCTCAGTCTAGTCTAGTTGTTATCTTAAATGTGATGTTTTTGCTTGATATAAGATATTTGTCGGCTATTGTTTAAATATATAGTAAAGAAGACATATAGGGACTTCCAACGTTAAAATGTATCTGTAACACTTCATTATATATTTCATTAAGAACATTAACTAACATTACTACATATGCGACCCTGGACCACAAAACCAGTCATAAGGATACATATATATTTTAAATCAGCTTTTCATTGATGTATGGTTTGTTAGGATAGGACCATATTTGGCCGAGATACAACTATTTGAAAATCTGGAATCTGAGGGTGCAAAAAAATCTAAATATTGAGAAAATTGCCTTTAAAGTTGTCCAAATTAAGTCCTTAGCAATGAATATTACTAAGCAAAAATTACGTTTTGATATATTTACTGTAGGAAATTTACAAAATATCTTCATGGAACATGATCTTTACTTAATGTCCTAATGATTTTTGGCATAAAAGAAAAATCAATAATTTTGACTCATACAATGTATTTTTGGCTATTGCTATAAATATACCCGTGCTACTTGTGACTGGTTTTGTGCTCCAGGGTCACATTTTATGTTTTAACAGATCATCAGAAAAGTAGAAAATAGATTCAAATTAATACAATTTAATTTGGATAAATGACAAAAAAAGAATAATAAATTATTTTTTATTAAAATTGATTTAAAAACTTAAAATGTAAGTTTTAAATATCCCCTGAACCTAAAATATAAATCACCAACGTTTTTTAATATATAACTTTCAATGAATAAAATTAAACTTTTTTTTTTTTTTGCTTTTTGTAAGTAACTTTGGATAAGAATGTCTGGTAAATTCCTGTAAATATTGTAAATAATTCATGATTTTCTGTCACTGGGAATTAATCATCCAACATGACTGACATATTTCAAAAGAATTCTTAAATAAATTCTTGTTGCTTTCTATGTCTCTTCACTCTTAATTTAATCATAAATAAATAAATTTAGCTTCATAATTTATGCAGGGTTTATCATGTATTGAAAATGAATGATTCATTTTTGTTGTTACAGTATAACAGTAGGAGTATATAAAATATTTATATATTTAATTAAGCATTTTTTTTATTAACACCAGCAAGTCTTTGTCTGAAGAAGAAGAAAATAGGATTAAACCAGAACATCATTGCCTGGCTATTAGTCTTCAGGGCATATTTGGCATTTTGTAAATATCTGTCCATCAGACCTCAACATCCTCACAATGTCCACCCACACACAGCAATAGATTATCTGTCCCACACAAGGAGATGTATTAACCATCCCATGCTGACACCATTTGCTTACTCCATTTTGATGATTAGAGAGGACACAATGTCCCTGCGCTTCAGCGGCAGAGGTGATGTTACCTTTAGTTTGGCTCTATTTAAAAATCATCATCATGGGTCAGTCTCTGCATCAGCTCTTCTCTGAATGCTGTGACATGCTTCGGATTTTTCTTCGAACTGTGTGAAATTATGAACAACTTCTTTAGGAAATGAAACTGCTGAAAACCAACACCATGCTCAGCATCACAAAAAAATGCACTGATGATTAAATCAACTATTTCTGGTCATGATCCTGATGCAACACACACACACACACACACGTGCATGTATGTGGTGTTGCATCAGGATCATGGCCTCTATAGGGCTGGGTAGTAACTTTGTATTTTTTTTTATCAGTTTGGTATGAGATCATCCTATTTAAATCAATGTAATAAACAACTTACATAGAAAGTCATCTAAAAGTAATCAAAAAGTAGTCTGATTACATTACCTAAAATTTGGAATCTGTAACGGCTTACAATTTGCACGGTATATATATGATCATGTTTTGTCATTTATTTTATAACACGTTTTATACATATTTTTGCAGGTAAAACCGCTGTGCTGGAATTTTCGATCACAATTAAGCTTCAAGTTACACTTGTCTGATTAAACTTTAGCTAATCAAAATTTCAAATAGTGATTTCATGGGTCAGTCTCTGCATCAGCTCTTCTCTGAATGCTGTGACATGCTTCGGATTTTTCTTCGAACTGTGTGAAATTATGAACAACTTCTTTAGGAAATGAAACTGCTGAAAACCAACACCATGCTCAGCATCACAAAAAAATGCACTGATGATTAAATCAACTATTTCTGGTCATGATCCTGATGCAACACACACACACACACACACACACGTGCATGTGGTGTTGCATCAGGATCATGGCCTCTATAGGGCTGGGTAGTAACTATTTTTAAGTATTACTAAGTATTTTTTTTTATCAGTTTGGTATGAGATCATCCTATTTAAATCAATGTAATAAACAACTTACATAGAAAGTCATCTAAAAGTAATCAAAAAGTAGTCTGATTACATTACCTAAAATTTGGAATCTGTAACGGCTTACAATTTGCACGGAGTGGAACAGAGTTATGTTTTTTCTGTGTATATATATATATATATATATATATATATATATATAATATGAAGAGTTCATTTGCAAAAACAGATATATATGATGAGTTCATTTGCCAAAATAGATAACTCAGTTTTTAACAATTTTCAATAATCATGTTTTTTCATTGTGCATTCCAATTAATCTCAATAAAACCGCTGTGCTGGAATTTTCGATCACAATTAAGCTTCAAGTTACACTTGTCTGATTAAACTTTAGCTAATCAAAATTTCAAATAGTGATTTAACAAAGCATAGAGCTGAACAGTGGGGAACTCATTTGTGAGATTCATGGCTTGTCAGATAAAAAGGGAACATGTCACATACACACACACGTTTCTAATACCCTGGCCAGATCAGAACAGAGATACAATGAAGAGAGGAACTAAAAAGGAAACATGAGAATCCAGCTTTTATTACCAGTACGAACACATTCTGAAGATGAGAGCAAGCTAACAACTTCATACAGTCATAGACTGCATTAAGTTGATTTAATATCTGTATTATTGAAATGAATATTAGCGAATAATTCATTTTCTTGTCTTTTGAAAAAGCATACATTTAAATAGTCGCTAATTGAAGCAGCGTTATAAAGAGCTCCTTTGACGATGTGATGCACTATTTATCTTGATACAAAATGGTACATGTACTCCAACGACTCCAGATTTCAGCGATGAGTGACGAGATCAAAGCAAAAGCTTCTTCTCCCCTCTCGTGATGTGAATGATGTGCAAACCATTGTCAGCCATTCAAGAGGTGCTAATTGGCTGCGCTTACGTACCACAGCCAGATGCAGAAGCCCCAAACCCTTCGATGGGAAATAGAGGATATGAATTCACACATGTAATTTGAGTTAGAAGAACCTATAAATGCCCAGATCCCTTTAAAAAAATATCAGATTACCATAAAAAGAAGTTGCAAAGGCTAAACAGCCATAGTCATTGATTTATTTACATGACACTTATGGATGTCACTGTTCACGACAGCAGATAGCATGTTTTATAAGCTCTCGTCAGTTATTTTCACAATGACACATTCGCAAAATGTAAATCAACATACATTCAGAAAGCGTTCTGTACAAACACGTTAACAGTCTGATAAGGACCAGCTACAGGAAATCTGATAGAGATGCACATATCCTAAGCATTCCAATGTGACAGAGGGGATCAAATGCATCCATGCATTATTAAGCAGATCTGAAGATGGCCTGGGGAACTGATGGGAAGTCTCCTGTGTATATTTGATAGGGCTGACGCACCACTGCAGACCTTATGAGCTTCTATGATGAGCACTGAGACGCCCAGACCAATGGCCTTGTTTCAATCGGAGTCTGAGTCATCGCTAGCCTTGTCCTTGTGCTTCTTCTTTTTCTTCTTGTGTTTCTTCCTCTTCTCTTTTTTCTTCTTCTTCTTCTTCCGGGTGTGATCGGAGGAGGCAGAGGAAGACAAGGTGGAGTCAGAGTCGGAGGTGGTGTCTTGAAGCAGCTGTCTCAACTGCTGGATCCTACAGTGAGGTGAAAAGACATAATAAAATATTAATATTGTAATACATTTACAAGAAAGACAAAATAAAACTATAGTTATTGGATCTCTTTATAGAAAACAACACTGAACATGAAAAAATACACACACATCTCCTTTAAAATAGTCCCATTCCAGATAATTACGTAGAGACAACTAAAAATATAAATTATGGTTTATACCAAATCCTAAAAAGCAATACTAAAACAAATATGTGTTGTAAAAAAAAAATGTATGTGTATTTCTATTATCATTCTACTCTATTATATATATATGTTCTACTATAATTTCTTTTTCCCCTTTTTTCTATGGTTTATAAAGGTGGAGTCAGAGTCGGAGGTGGTGTCTTGAAGCAGCTGTCTCAACTGCTGGATCCTACAGTGAGGTGAAAAGACATAATAAAATAATATTAATATTGTAATACATTTACAAGAAAGACAAAATAAAACTATAGTTATTGGATCTCTTTATAGAAAACAACACTGAACATGAAAAAATACACACACATCTCCTTTAAAATAGTCCCATTCCAGATAATTACGTAGAGACAACTAAAAATATAAATTATGGTTTATACCAAATCCTAAAAAGCAATACTAAAACAAATATGTGTTGTAAAAAAAAAATTTATGTGTATTTCTATTATCATTCTACTCTATTATATATATATATGTTTTACTATAATTTCTTTTTCCCCTTTTTTCTATGGTTTATACCAAATGTCCTTGTGCTTCTTCTTTTTCTTCTTGTGTTTCTTCCTCTTCTCTTTTTTCTTCTTCTTCTTCTTCCGGGTGTGATCGGAGGAGGCAGAGGAAGACAAGGTGGAGTCAGAGTCGGAGGTGGTGTCTTGAAGCAGCTGTCTCAACTGCTGGATCCTACAGTGAGGTGAAAAGACATAATAAAATAATATTAATATTGTAATACATTTACAAGAAAGACAAAATAAAACTATAGTTATTGGATCTCTTTATAGAAAACAACACTGAACATGAAAAAATACACACACATCTCCTTTAAAATAGTCCCATTCCAGATAATTACGTAGAGACAACTAAAAATATAAATTATGGTTTATACCAAATCCTAAAAAGCAATACTAAAACAAATATGTGTTGTAAAAAAAAAATTTATGTGTATTTCTATTATCATTCTACTCTATTATATATATATATGTTTTACTATAATTTCTTTTTCCCCTTTTTTCTATGGTTTATACCAAATCCTAAAAAGCAATTTAAAAAATATTTGTGTGTGTGTGTGTGTGTATTTTGTCTTCAGCATTGCTAATATATTTGATTTATTAATAATATTTATAAGGATACAAGCATTTATACAAAACATAGTGTATTATTTGTTATGGTTAACAACTAACATTTTATATTAATATTATATTAAATACTATAAAATGTAAATACAATATGACAACTTTAATGTTAATCCTTTAAAATAGTTCTATTCCAGATTAATAAGTAGAGACAATTAAAAATGTGAATTATGGTTTATACCAAATCCTAAAAAGCAATGCTTGAAAAAATGTTTTGTAAAAAAATATAAAAAATTTGTGTATATATATATATATATATATATATATATATACACAGTGGGATGCCAATTTACACCGCAACTCGTT